TACTACTACTTTCTGCAGAACATAGTGCAAAACTTTTGGAATAATAAATCCGAATTCTGGCTTATTTCTCATTCGCTCCAGTCTAAAACCTTATTTGAATTGTAGTGGGAACGACATTTGCGCAGCATAAATCGTAGGTATAAAACGGTGAGGTCAGTTGGGTAGTTCGACTCAATGCGGTCACACTCCATATAGTTTTACAGCGTGCATGAAAATATAGGTTAGCCGGGTTCAAAGGTTATTTAGGGGCGTCGAAAAATCATTCCCATCCGTTTAAACTTTCATTCCGGCGATTTTGTTGGTTTTTTTTTCATTTCACAAACTGGACTTGTCTTTCGAATTGAAATAAAATTAAGTCAAATTTATCCTTTTCATGCTACAGTAAAAGCGATATATTGAAATTAGTTATAATACAACTTAATTTTCAGTCAGATTTGATTGCTGATTCAGGCATTTTTGAAGTGAAAACTTTTTTAGCGGCGTTGTACACTTTTTTTTTGTATGGGTAAAAAATGTTAAACTCGCGTCAGGTTAAACACGTGGGCTGATCGCATCATGACAAACAATAAAATTGGAAAGGTTGTTGACTTTTAAATATAATTGCCGAAACATAGTAATATTTTAATTTACCGTATTATAATAATAAGTCTCTATCTAGGACGTCCACGTGGCAGTTTTATTACGAAGCAAATGCATTTTTTATAATAGATGTCGCTAAGTGCGCTTAAACGTGATTCATGTAAGTTGATTTTTCGGAGAGATAAACTTTTTTAATGTAATATAAATTGTCATGTTTGTGTACGATAGCGCAATAAATAAATATTGTATTCTACCACAAACATAGTACTTTTATACTGGTAATTAAAGCGATTCGTGCAAAATTATTCCCTAACCATTCCAAAATATCAAAAATGCACAACGTTAATATTCAAGTTTTCACTTCTGCCGGCACTCCCGGAGTGCAACCCGTCGTTTTTTTTTATCAAAAATCTGTCTTTAGGACTCAGGCCACTCGTATTCAGGTTATGGACTAAGCTGATCTGATAATTTAAACGATGTCGTACTCCACACAAAATGCAAAACACCAAAGAGTAAGCTTTTAACCAAAATCTAATTTAATGTACATAATTGTATTTATTTTTATGTAAATTTAAATATACCTGATTCTTATTCCTGTACAATCATACGCAGCCTTAAATATAAATTCATCATCATCATCATCAGCCTATTAATGTCCCCACTGCTGGGGCACAGGCCTTCCCTACGGATGGAATAGGGAGATAGGGCCATGACTCACCACGGGGGCCCAGTGCGGATTGGCGGGTGCTAACGACTGCAGATGCAGCCGGGACTAACGGCTTAACGTGCCTTCCGAAGCACGGAGGAACTCGAGATAGAAGATTTTTGGTTACCCACCCAACGACCGACCACTGCGAAAGTTGCTTAAATTCAACGATCGCAGCCTAACGCGCTAACCTCTTGCGCCATCGAGTTTCTCGAAATATAAATTAATGAATATAAAAGGAAAACATAAGCACTTACGGCCACACTTAGAAAAGTCAATTAACGTTTTAATAAAGTTGATGCTGTGACTGCTCTCCTTGCGATAACAAGATATTGAGACGTCACGTGACTTATTGAAGCATCTCTTATCTATTAGACAAGTCCGTCCGTCTGTCTGTGGTGCTGTTTCAGCGGCCAAACCGTAAGAGATAGATAAAGAGAATATTTAAGTTATAAGTTAAGAATAGTCTGATAAGACTACAAACCGGATTTGAGTAACGTAGCACTTCCGGTTTTCGAGAAATCAAGTTTTGGTGAACATTTGGTTCACTGGTTTGCTATTTAAATTAATTTCAGTACTGCTGTTACTCAGTGGCGTGTTTTTATCCCAGAATTTGTAATTTCTGGAGTAAATTGCGCTTCATTTTCGCTCATAAGTTTATGAACTCTTTGGTACTGTTTAAAATAAAAAAAAAAATACAATTAAAACGGGTTCTTTACGAAGTCTGTCGTTTTTATTTAAATCATGAAGATCGTTGAACAATACTTACTTAAATATTCTAGATCGGTGGTACCTATGCCTTACGCACCATCTAATGTTAATTTATTTAAGATAAGAAGTTTCACTTCAGAGTTACACTTTTTTATTTGGTAGTGTCAGAACCGAACTTTGAAAAGTTTTTAGTATATTTCAAAAAAAAAATGGATGCGTGTAACTTATGTACGCGCGTGAGAAGTTATACTTCTTTAGCATCATTAAAAATATTTTTTAATTGCATGCAAATAATTAATAATTACAATAAAATAATAAAAGGACTGGAAAAGGATAGTTAACACAGTCAATTAAGTTCAGTTTTAATTTGAAAAATTAAATAAATATTCAAAATATTCAATTAAAATCACTACTGAATTTAAGTTATTAGTCCATATGTAATTAGCACTTGTAAGTAACTAAAACACTTTGTATCTATATAGAAACTAGAAACATGTGGATAAATATTATAAATATGAAAACAGTGATCAGAGGCGACGAGCGTGCCAACATTGTTTTTGACAACGCGATCAACTTATGGAGCTCCGTGGATCGTTCAAAGTACCTTTCGAACAGATGTCTAATAATGGTGGATTATTAACCACTAAGTGGTGGTGGTAATTGTATATGTATTTTTTGGGGCAAATAAAAACTTATTAATGTTATATATAAAATTCTCGTGTCACAATGTTAGTAACCATACTCCTCCGAAACGGCTTGACTGATTTTTATGAAATTTTATATGCATACTAGCGGACCCGACAGACGTTGTCCTGTCTACACGTCTTTGTGAATCTAAACCATTCTCAGATCCCCTTGAACACACACAAAAAATTTCATCAAAATCGGTCCAGTCGTTTAAGAGAAGTTCAGTGACATACACACTCACAGAAGAATTATATATATAAAGATTTAGTAGGTATGAGAATCGGCTACTATGTATTTTTCATATCCCTAAGTGATAAGGGTTGTCCAGCGGTAACATTTAATTTTTTGGTCAAAATTTTTCATTTTCATTTTTTTATGGTTCGGCATTATAAAATACGTACAACCGTAAATTTTCACCCTTCCACCACCAGCCCCTATTTTTATGGCGGTACGAAGTTCGCTGGGTCGACTAGTGTTATTATAAAAACATTATAATTTAGGTAGATACTCTTAGACAGCAGCAGTGATATTCTGTAAAAATTTTCACGCGCGGATCATATGCAATGTTTTACAGAATAGAACAACTGAACCTCAATAATTTTCAAACTTAAAAAGGTCGTGTTTCGGCAAAAGGTGACCAAAGGTTTACATTAAATCGGCAAATATTGTACTTGAAAAGCTTTCGCCGGAATTCGTCCCTTGCCGATAGTAACAACTGACCCCATACCCAACGAATAACCGGAAACTGAACTCACTTCGAGAGCAAAATAAAAGTTTTATCGTACTATGCGATTCAAATAAGAATAGGACTGACTGGGCACCATATTAATAAATAAATAAATAAATATTTCCAACACTCACACCAATTAGCCTAGCCCCAAAGTAAGCACTGTAAGGCTTGTGTAATGGGATACTAGGGTAACGGATAGAATACGTATACTATACATATTTAAGTATATTTATATAGAAATACATAATAAACATCCATGACTGGAGTACAAATGCTCGTATTCATCATACTAACATCTGCCCCCACCGGGATTCGAACCCGGGACCTCTCGAGTCGTCGACACCATGAAACCCGGCGTACAAACCACTCGGCCACGGAGGTCGTCAAATATTGTGACGTCATAGCTGTCAATTCAAACCAGTTGAAAGGAATATAGAAAATAGAATAGAAATATAGAAGAAATTAGATTGACAGAAAAATATTTTGGAACCGGTGGAATTTATAAAAAAGAATTAAATAAAGTACTTTATTAATTAAATTACCAAATAAATTCATACTTATCAAATACTTAAAAACTTAACTTACTATACTTAAAAATCAAAATAAGTTTAAAAATCTTCCAATGAAATATACGAACGCTCTATAAAAGTCTTTCGAAGGTAGCTCGACTAAGTAAATAAAAAGTCAAAGTCAGTCAAATAAAAAGTCAGTCAAAAGTCAGTCAGTCAAAAGTCAGTCAGTCATTTCGACGACCTTTTAATCATTCATACACCAAGAATTTTGAGTTACCTAAGAAACTTTACTCAATAATTGATAATTGATGACTTACTTACTTATCTTTATTTTCGCAATAAACTTTAATACTTTTTTTTTTTCGATATGTTTCTCCACGGTAATTCAGTAATTGTGAAATTAACACCATAACATTTTTTATTGTTATAAATTAGTTCAAATAAACCTTGCTTTAGGATCAACGTACTTTAAACGGATAATAATTCCATTATAAATAGGTATGTTATTTTGAAATTTGCGCCGATTTAGGATATTTTGTACACAATAAATAATCAATATTTTTGTATGGGATCTCCGTGGCCGAGTGGTTTGTACGCCAGGTTTCATGGCTGTCGCCGACTCGAGAGGTCCCGGGTTCGAATCCCGGTGGGGGCAGATGTTTGTGTGATGGATACGAGCATTTGTACTCCAGTCATGGATGTTTAATATGTATTTATATAAATATACTTATATATGTACAGTATATGTATTCTATCCGTTACCCTAGCATCCCATAACACAAGCCTTATAGTGCTTACTTTGGGGCTAGGCTAATTGGTGTGAGTGTAAAAAAAAAAAAATTGTATGGGGGTATGGGTATGTAGTACGCTTACTGTTTAAGACTGTTTTCACTATTTATTTACAAGATGTTCTCGGGTAACTCAAAATCAAGGTGTATATGTAACTATTTGATTAAATTATATACATGTTAGCTTTAGAATACATGGCCCGGAATATGTTTTACCTAAAAAGACATTTCTTTATGAAGGTACTAATAAAGTACTAAGTTTCAATTATACTTTGTTTTTTTTTCAGGTACCTAACTACATATATCAAAAATCACAGCTGTTGCGTAAACAGTTTGAGAAAGAGTAAGTTATATGTTTGAGTTAACTACATCAGCATCGCCATTACCATTATCAAAATATTTATTTATGCAACTGTTTATAATTAGGATTTACATCATAGGCGATGAGGAGGTGACTAAACACCTTGAGCCTCTTCAATTACGCCGTGACGTGGCGTCACTAAGCGCGATCTATTGTTTGTACCACGGCGAGTGTTCTGAGGAGTTATTCTCTCTTATCCCACCTTCTCCTTTCCTTCAGAGGACCACGCGCGCTGGCCTACGTTGTCACTGTCTAACTGTGGCCACAATTCCAACGCGTACAAAGAAATTTGGTGACTCATTTCTTTGTCGCACTATCCGTAAATGGAATGCTCTGCCCGCTCACGTGTTCCCTCCCTCTTACAACCTGGGATCCTTTAAAAGAGGCGTAAAGAAGCAACATGCAGGCCGGCAGGGTGAGGATGGCTGGTGTGGCAGGTAAAACTGCTGTATCAGCTATCTTCACGTCTGGACTTCACCTTCACTTAACATCAGATCGGGTGGAGTCATTTGTCGGACCTATCTATAAAAAAAAAATTAGGGAGGTACCTATAATAAACTAATGAGATTTTTCAGAACTGGACTCCATTTACACTTAACGTCAACTGAGGTTTGAACCCACCACAAAACTTAAATAAAAAGGTCACCAAGTTTAAGTGATACTTATAATCAAAAATTAAAAACCCGACTGCTTAAATGTTACTTGAATAAAAACTGAAAAGAAGAAAACTAATCCAGTATTCTATAATTCTGTTAAGAAGGATCAAAGCTACTTTAACCGTCGGAACCATTAGTTATTCAAGAATGGATATTTTTTTTTCAATAATGGGTCCCGACTGTTAAAGTAGCTTTGTTCCTTACTTAACAGAATTATAGATTCCTGGACTTCTTTTCTTCTTTTCAGTGTGTATCATCAAAATCGATCCACGCGTTTGGTCTTTAGTGTGCCACAAAGGAACATACACACATATATAGATAGTTAAATACTATACCCTGTCTGCGCATCGCGCTTCGCGCTCTTGCATTGCGCAGTCGGGTAAAAAGAACTAATAACTAAAGAAAATTGTACTAGAAAAAAATTCACGCAGACCAGGTAGCAGACGGGACTCGAACCTGCACCCTTCGTTATCCGGGCGAATGCACTGATATGCTACCGCGGCCCTAATGGCCGTGTCGAATTTCTCTAGCATATCTTAGGTTGTAAGGTAGCGCCATCTCTTCGCGTTGTAGATAGCAAAGAGATGGTAATATGCAAATAAATAAAATAAAAATTGCTTTTATTTCAAGACATGGTCTCATATGTGTTAGTGACAATTTTTCTGAACCTATGTTAGAATTTCATTACAATTTCAATTTCAATATAATTATAACATATATAAAAATAAATAATTTCAAAATTAAAATAATTAAAAATTTATTATTAACATTATTCACGTTTGATAGAGAATATTTTAACATGTAGTAGCATTTCAATGCTTAAAAAAATATAAATATGAGAACTAATATATCCAACTGTTATAGTGGTTTAGCCTCGGCCTGTGTCCTAGATAACACAATGAGCTAGACAAAAAGTCGGGCACATACATTTTCTGAGCTGATAAGCATCTGCAACGTTGATGAACTGGATTTCTCTATTTCACTCGTTGTTTTGAGATATTAGGGTTCCTTATCGTTATATAAAAGTGATAAAATCTGATGTTCTTTTAAAAATCTAGCTGTGATAGTTGCAACAAACTCAAACTCATTTATTCAGTCTAGGCTGTTACAAGCTCTTGTGAAAGTCAAACGCTACGCCGACAAACTTTTTAATTATGAAGGAGTATTATTTGGTCAATGTAAAGGATGCCGGAAATTATACCACGAGCAATTCAGATCACGAACAAAGTGAGTTATATCAGTGTTGCTATCACAAAAAAATATTTCAGTTATAGCAGTATTTAAAAACAAATAAAATGGTTGCGTTAATACTCAACAAATTACTGTACGTCACTATATTTGAAACATTGTTTACAACACGATGCTATTGCCTAAATTTGTTTCATGATTTTAACATTTTTACGTGTCAGGATGGGGTTCGAAATCGTATGCCAGTTCAAGCTTGACAGTTCTTTATTCACCACAGAGTTCACACAGTTCTACACTCACTGTACGTACATTATGCAAGTCTTTAAACAATCGCACTTGAACACTTAACTTGCACTTTGATTGCCTTCGTATTCGTTCCGAAATCGCTGTTGAAACTGAACTGTCCAATGCGCGGCACCGAACGCGCTTATACAGGGTGTAAAAAATCCTATGACAAAGACTCAAACTATGCATTCTGTTCTGTACCCAAACTAGTAATATTACAAAATATTATACGTGGGAAAAATTTGTATTTTTGAGTTAAAAGAATACAATTTTCTTAGCAGTACGCAATGTATAGCTCGGCGCGCTACTGTGGTGCTAAGCAACGAATGTGCCTGTGCGTATGTGTGTGTGTGTGCGTCGATCAAAAAGTTTCTAAATAACGTTTGAAAACATTAATGTAAAAATCTTGAAATAAAAAATTATGACTTTGACCTTCAATATCCAGATATAACCAGAAACCCGGGTATAGTCCAGACGAAAAAAATTATCGTCATGATGTGGAAAATACATGGCCTCCGACTTCGTTAAATGTTTTTTTACACCCTTTATACGCCAATCGACGCATTCTAGAAAAGTCCAGTTTTATTGAAAGTTGACTAGCACGCAGTACCTACTTATATGTAGGTAAAGCGCATGAGTTGTATACAAGTGCGGATGTCGTTGCACTTTCACCCTTACGCGGAACTGCAAAAGGCTCATATTAGAATAAACCACACCACTCGACCTTTATCGAGATTATTTAAATCGCGACCCGCGGCGCTCCGGTTTAATCTGTCAATTTCCCGGTTTTAGTTCGAGAGCATTTTTTTTAACTCACACCAATTAGCATAGCCCCAAACTAAGCACTGTAGGCTTATCTTATGTGATACTAGGGTAACGGATAAAATACATATATACATATATAAGTATATTTATATAGAAATACATATTGATTATCCATGACTGGAGTACAAATGCTCGTATTCATCATACAAACATCTGCCCCCACCGGGATTTGAACCCGGTACCTCTCGAGTCGGCGACACCATGAAACCCGGCGTACAAACCACTCGGCCACGGTGGTCGTCGACATTTGTGACAATATATGACGATGCTATAGAAGTACACTATTATGAGCTCATGATAATGCCGCTGTCAGACAAAAGCCCCGGAAATTTTGCTGGGTTTTCTAGAATTTCAAAATTTCTAAAACCGAAAACTTTACTTTCACTTGGACTTCGTAAAAAAGAAGATACAAATAAAACGAATCATTGTATACTTGTAGAATTCGCGTCCTAACCTTTTGTTCTCATTTCAAATTGCGGCCAGCTTTCTATTTTATTTCACAAGGAGACGGCATCTCAGATAAAAAAGTCGGTTGGTAGGTAACAAAAATTCTCAAGAGTATATAAAAAAGCTAAACGTATGTACTGAACCTCGTAAAAAGAAGACGTGACGCGTTCGCGTTAGGTTTGCGTAACGTTTCTCCCCCCGTCAAATTGCCGCCTCTAATTTTCCGGGGGGTCGACGGGGGAGATATATTATGTGTTGTATATTCCACTTTTCAGTTTCATGTTCTCTCTGCGTCCCTCAACTTTTCATTGTGTGTCTCTTTTCACCGAAGAAAGTATGAGTAAGTCTTTTAATGCACTCCACTGGAGCTATGCTATGCTATGATACGCGCTGATGGCAATTTTTGTGAAACTTTTAAAGAAAAAGAAAGAAATAAAATTTTATTTGAAACAAAACAACACTAAGAGAACATATAAAAAAAAACACACACACATCAAATTTTTTGTCTCAAAACGGTCTCAACTTGAAGATTAATTGGTATAATAAGTTCACCACGATTTCAAGTTTAACAAGCATGACTGGACTGATGACATTTGACATAATGATTAAGTTGACGTTATAAGCTGCCACACACTATAAATATGACGTTATTTTTTCATCATCATCATCATCATGTCAACCGTATGACACCCATTGCTGAGCATAGGCCTCCCCCAAGGATCTCCACACCGATCGGTCCTGCGCCACTCGCATCCATCGGCTTCCCGCGACCTTCACAAGATCGTCGGTACACCTTGTAGGGGGCCTGCCCACTGAGCGTCGTCCGGTGCGTGGTCGCCATTCAAGAACCTTACCGCTCCAACGGCCATCGGTTCTTCTTGCTACGTATCCCGTCCACTGCCACTTCAGCAGAGTAATCTTTCGAGTGATATCGGTAACTTTGGTTCTCCTACGGATTTCCTCATTTCTGATTCTATCGCGTAGGGAAACACCAAGCATCGCTCTCTCCATTACTCGCTGTGTGACCTTGAGCCTTCTTATGAGACCCGCAGTAAAGGACCACGTCTCGCTTCCGTAGGTCATCACTGGCAACACACACTGGTCAAAGACTTTTGTCTTGAGACACTGAGGTAATTTGGACGCGAATATTTTTCGTAGCTTCCCGAACGCTGCCCATCCTAGCTGGATACGACGAGAGATCTCTTTCTCAATGTTGGACCTACCTAACTGGACTGTCTGTCCTAGGTAGACGTAACAGTCGACAACTTCGAGTGTAGTGTTCCCAATTTTAACTGCAGCGGGTACTACATGGGCATTCGACATAATTTTCGTCTTCTCCATGTTCATCTTAAGACCCACTTTTTGGGAAGCACTACTAAGATCTTCGAGCATAGTGTTAAGATCTTCCAAGGTCTCAGCCATTAGAACTACATCATCGGCGAAACGAAGGTGCGAAAGGTACTCGCTATTAATGTTAATGCCTCGTCCTTTCCAATCCAGAAGCTTGCAAATATCCTCCAATGCAGCTGTGAACAGTTTCGGAGATATCACATCTCCCTGTCTCACGCCTCGCTTCAATTG